TTTACATGGGGAGTTCACTATTTTCAGCTGACAGAGGCCAGGTTTACAGATGTTTCTGCATTATATGTATCAATAACAAAGAATAAACTATATATTCCCTTCTTAGGGTATCCCTAAAAATCAGTGGTGAAGAGAAATCCTCCCAGTGGGTAGAATTCGAGGTAGTGCACTTCATTGCATATTTTCTCTTGTATATGAAATAGTCAGACAATATTACATACCACTGTATGGGCAGCAGTGAGTGATTTTGCTGGATTATCAGTGAATTATAAGAAATATTATTGACTGGTGTCAAAGAAACTGAGGAAAATATAGATACATACCCCAAAATGTTCTGACAACAAGATATTTGTGTCCCATATAAATGCCCACCAAAGAATGAGTTTGTGAGATGAGGATGTTTTAATAACTAAATGAACTGCAGTTCTACAGAATTCAAGTTCCGTTCTGCTGATACCAGTCAATTCTTTTCCCAGCCACTCCTTTCACCACCCATAGATTTATGGCCAAAGTGGCCATGGTAGCAGAGATAGAAATGATATCTGAGCTTAGAATATGTGCTTTCACTAACTAAAGTAGACCTGGAACTGATGAATATCCTATCTGCTAGTAGCAGAGACAACAGTGAGCCCCTGATACCATTCCCTGTAAGTCACTTACACTGGATAATTTTTTGCAAAATAAATAGTATCTTGTACTCATCAGAACAAATACTTTGAGTATGGATTTATCTTACCTGAAAATGAAACTCTGTAAAATCTCTATCTGTAAACAGACAGAGTGTCTTATCTGGCATCATGGCATTCCATGTAGTATTTTTTTAAACCAAAAAACTCAATTCTACTAAACAAAAAATAAGTTTTACAATGAAAATATGCTTATGGAATTCACTAATTTTGCTATATTCTTCACCATCTTGTGGCAGCTGTCAAAGTAGAATGGATTTTTGAAAACAGCTAAAGTGTCAGCTAGATAGAAATAATTTTCAAAGCTGTGGCAAGTTTCTATACTGGTCCGTTCATGCTCTGAATTGACATCCATAATATGATGCTGTTTTTCCAGTAGCTAACACTCGTAAGTTGAGAAATGAGGTAGAAATGGATATGGTACTTCTCACCATTCACCTGTCTCTCATCATAATGACACCTCACATACTAGGAGACTTTTTGCTCTTTCCTTCTGTTATTTTATTCTCTGGTAATTTAGATCTTTTAGTTTCAGAAGACACAACAATGATTGCGTTTAACTAGAAGTGGGATGGGGGAAGCAGAAAAAAAAATAAGGGAAAACAAGATTTTATATATATATATATATATATATATATATATATATATATGTACATGTGTATGTAAGATGGATAACTATACTACTAATCTCTGTTCAACAAAAATAACAGTTATATTTTCATTGTCTGTTGTTTGATCATTTTTTTTTCATGCCTAAATCTTGTAATCTGAACAACTTCTTTTAAGATAACCATATGTAATATGTTAAATAGTGATAATGTTCTATTTTTTAATATGTATCATTTTAATCCTTTTTTAAAAAATAAAAACAAAACATTTCCACTTGGACCCATTAAGTCTCGTGTCTCTGTGGTAATGGGGAAACAAAGAAGTTACAGTGATTGATTCAAATTACCAAGAATAATTTTACTTTAGTGGATATAAGGAAAAATATATCTGGTATACAATAGATAACTTGGGGTATCTCTCAATGCACCATGTGATAAATTTCAGTGGAAAAATCACAATTGTCCAATTCTGATGGGACTGTTAATGGCCTGGGATGAAAGTCTGGGTCACAGTAACAGATAAAAGCCATGACTAGTCTTATTTGCTGAGGGTCAAGGGAATACACAGAGAGTAGCAGGAAAAGGTTGTGATACACACTAGCAATGACCAGATGGTCATTTATACAAATAATGATTATAATTATCATGGGTATTTTCCTTACTTTGTTATGGATATACATCTATATCAAATATTTTTAAGTTTTTTTTCTTTTATTCTGTTTTCACATCAGGTTTGTTTTTTAACTTTAAATTGACATTAGTATTAACTTTACATTACACTATTTCAGTTATTATAAAAAATGTTGGCAAGGATGTGGGAAAAAAGAAGTCTACTATTGGTGGGAGTGCAGACCAGAATAATCACTGTGGAAATCAGTATGGAGATTCCTAAAAAAATTAGGATTAGAGACCCCTTCAATCTAGGTATTACCCTTATGGGTGCTTTCCCAGAAGAATTGAAAACATCATGCCATATATATATATATATATATATATATATATATATATATGCACCCATGTAATAGCTAGATCTTAGAAACAACTCAAATGCCCATCAACGCAGAATAGATAAAATAGATGCAGTATTTTTATACAGTGAAGTACTACAGCTATAAAGAAGGATAAACTCAAGGCTTTTATAGGCAAATGGATGTAACTTGAGGCCATACTCATTAGTGAAATAAATCAGACTAGCATGTGTAAACATCATAGTCTAGCAAGTGTAAAAACCTGAAAGAGTAAATAATATTCAAAATGTACAATAGATGTTGTGAAAGTGAAAGGCAAAGAAACTTCTCAAAAGGAAAGAACAACTGGAATGGAGGAAAGGAGAAAAGAAAGGAGGGGAAAGCATATATATATATACACACACACATAATACATTATTAATCTCTGTTAGGTGATCAAAAATGGTTCGTGCTTTTATTGTTTGATCATTTTTTCATGCCTATGTCTTATAATCTGAGCAACTACTTTGAAGATAACAATATGAAATATATCATCCATTGTTAATCTCCTATTATTTTGTTTTGAAATTCTGTATCATCATTTTTATTCTTTTTTCATTTTAAATTTTAAAAAATATTTTAAGTAGGAGACATCAGGAAGGAAGTAAATATCAATAAAGGCAGTATATGTGTCTGTTCAACTAAGGAAGCAATAAATACTTTTCAGGTTGCACAAAGGGCAGTTGCATCATTCTATGCAGAATTTTGAACCTTCTTATTATTTTTATTTTGAAATTAAATGTCATTTGAAGAAATGCCAAATTAACAAAGAGTGAACTTGTGACAATCGGTGGTACATGTTAACTTGAATCAAAGTGTTCTCATACAGCTGATTAAGTCTTATTTCTGCATGTGTCTATGAAAATGTTTAAGAAATAAATTTACTGAATTGGTAGATTCAGTAAAGATTACCCTCTCTAATGTGGTCAGCCATCATTGAATCCACTAAACACCTGAGTGAACAAATAGATTGGAGAAAGAGTGAATTTGCTTCTGTTTTGAGCATGAACAGCCATCTAATGGCTCTTGAACATCATATTCCTCTGGTTTTCAGGCCTTTGGACTTAAGCTAGGATTTACATCACCGGTTATACAAAAGACTCATGCTCATGGAATTCCTAGTTCTCAGACCTCCAGACTCAGACTAAATTATGGGACTTGTTTTCCTACTACTACAAATCACAGATACAAATAACAAGGTTATTGGTGTCCATAGTAACATAAGTCAATTCCTATCAAAGATGTTTTCTAGATAGATGAATATATAGCCCATTGGTTCTGATCCACTAGAAACTTTACTAATATAATGTCTATTTCCTCAAGAATATAGCCACAATATTAGGAAATATAGCATAGCTGTTAACAGCAAAAAGTAGACCTAGGATTAAATAGCAATTTAGCCCTTACTGAATGCATGTCCTAGGACTAATATTTTAACCCGTATAAAGCACATTTTCCTCCCTTTTAAAGTATAAATAACAAGATAAGAAGAAGCACCTTATGAAAGGCAGTAAAAGGGAGCCAAGAAGAAAGTGGCTGATTCATTTTCTAAAAAGCCTGGTATGATGTCAAGGCACTGGATATGTTCAACACACAAGAAATACTTCTCTTATTTTTCTTCATGCTTAGAATATTATTCAACATACACACATTTGCTAGTAAAACTACTTAAGTTCATCAATTATAGTGCAGTTGGATTAAATCATGGAAGGTATTTTTAGACAAAGTAGTAAAGTGAACATTTTTGTATTATAAAATAACCCAGAGTTCAAGGAGAAAGGGCTTGAATATGGTAAACTATGGGGATAAGAGAGGTGTCATGAGATTTAATGTGAGGGTCAGAGATGGACTGTGACATAGAAGTGAGGGCATTAGGCTGACAGCTACAAGATTTGTGTTAGTGGTCTCAGGAATGGTGAAAACCTACCAAAATTTTCAAAATAATGAGTTTCATCCCATTCAGACTATATGTGGACTTGAATAAATCAAATTTTATGAAGTAAATACCACAAGAAAATTCATCAAAAATCTTCAATAAGATAGGATAGAAAAAGCATCCAGAATCCCGAATGCCTTGGGAGGAGTGCATCCAAAATAGAATTATTGTTCAAGATAGTGGATTAATTGACCACAAGGTCAAAATTTAATGTGGTAATACATTGAATATTCAATAGACATTTATTATGTCTATTATTTAATATGTACAATATATTCGATCACAGTTAAAGCAATAATGATTTTTTTCATTTATCGTGAAAATCTATTTGATGTAAACTTACTTAGATTGCATATTGATAAATAGTTCAATTCTCAACTTACAAATTGGCTCATTCTTCAAATGTATATGCTGGTAGTACGATGGTAAGAAATTTGCCTTGTGAAAATAATTCTCAATACTGTTATACAAACAAACATTTTGATTGTGTTAAAAGTCTTTTCTGAGATCATTTTAGTGAAATATATTTACTTCAAGTAACTTGAGTGTCACAAATTTCAATTAACAAAATTATGATTAAATTATTTTTGAATAAACTGAACTGAATAAAGATAAAAAATCCACATATTAGTGATGTTCATTTATTAGAAGCTTTTAAGAGATGAATTTCAGTAAAAGGTTGGTGGAAAAATATATTTGATGATGAAGAGGAACTAGCAAATACAGATTCTCCCAACTAAGATTCTTACTTGAGGTTCTGGTATTAGGAAAACAAGGTTTTAGCCTGACTGATGTGCTTTTTTATAGCTCCTTTTATCTCTTTATTCCTCAGGCTGTAGATAATAGGATTGAAAAAGGGGGACAAAACTGCAAAGGCCAGAGCAATGACTGTATCCCAGAATAAAGAGTATGTGGCAGAGAAGCGTAAGTACATGAGAGCCACACTGCCAAAGAAGAGCACAAAAACTGTGAGGTGAGAGACACATGTGGAAAATGCTTTGCGGCGGCCTTCAGCTGAACGAATACGGAGGATCACAGCCACAATACCAACATAGGACATGAAAATGAGCATCACCGCGGTGATAATCTCTACTGCATGGACAACATCCACTACCTGAATCATGATGATGGCCTGTGTATCTGTGCAGGCCAGACGCAGCACTGGGAGGAAGTCACAGAAGATATGCTCCAGGTGATTAGAACCACAAAATGGCAGTGTGGAGATCCAGGCAATCTCAGGGAAGGGTGTGACAAAGCCACAAAGACAGCAACCTAAAGTCAGTTGAGCACAGAGCTTGGAGGTCATGATAGTGGGATAACGAAGAGGGTTGCAGATGGCCAGGTAGCGATCGAAGGCCATGGCTGTCAGAAGACAAACTTCACTGATGCCTGTGGAATGGAAGAAGTACATCTGCAGGAGACAGCCATTTAAGGAAATATTCCTCCTCTCACTGAGCAGGCTGGAGAGCATCTTTGGGATGGTGGCTGTGGTGTACCAAATCTCCAGGAAAGAAAGGGCACAGATGAAGAGGTACATGGGAGTGTGAAGATGGATATTCAGCTTCACCACTGTGATGATAACTAAGTTTCCAAAAATAATGAAAGTATAGATGAGGAGCAGTGGAATGAAGCAGATGACAGAATCTCCCCAGGAAGAAGGGAAAGCAGAGAAGATAAACTCCTGAGCAGTGGTCCAATTGGAGTTGCCCATCTGTAAGTGGGAAGTTGGGATTTCAACTCCTATTTAACTTAAGCCTTCTAGAAAATGTCGACAGTTGGTTTGAAAGAAAATCCATTTACCAAAAGCCAGCCCCTGGGTATATTTCTGTCCTAAAGATGTGGAGGAAGAAAAATGAAAAATAATGTACGCTTTACAAAATATTGTATGCTTACGACTAAATTTGTGGTAGGTTAAAAGATACGGTCTGAAAACACAACCAATATTTTAAACCAGTGACAATCAAGTAGTACCATCATGATTGATTGGAGGCTTGTTAAAACTCAGAGTGCAGATATTCATACTAAAAGTCTTTATTTCATTAGGTCTATGACAGATCCCAAGTATTTGCAGTCATGTTGATCCTGTGGTCAGATGATGTTTTAAAACTATTGTGTAAGGCATTGAAGTAATAGTAAACTATTCAGGTGGTTAACGTTCTCATACTCAAATCTTACTGAATCCTTAACAATCTCCCTGCAACTTTTCAAATTTCTTTCCTTAAACTTCCAGTTCATATGATTCTTAGAATATGATTTGATTAATTTAATGATAAAGGTAAAGGAATCACTGATGAAATCCATCTATCTTCCCTCTTCTTTTTCTTGTATATAAATTTACCCTGTATTTTCACATTATTAACAATGATTCAGAGGATAAAGAAATGCTTATGTTTTTTAATCTCTTAAAAGATGGAGAGTTCTACCTCTTTCCATCCTTTCTATGTCTTCTATATCTCAATGGTGATTTGTACCAGAAACCTTTGGACAAATGAAGAAATTCATGGCAAAGGAATATAAGTAAGTTATAGGAATATATGTAAGTTATAAATGCAGGACTGAGCTAGAAGAATTGTACTGAGTGGTTTAGTATAAGAGTAGAACAATAGAGTTCTGGGTAATACAATTTAAACATCACACATTAAAGGATGTCATTCTAACAACTTATATTGATTTCTCAGATATTCCCATTTTCTTGACAGGTACATCTCTATTCAGCTAAGTTATTCATCAGCATTTTCCTAATGTGAAACACATTTAGTCCCTGTCGCTTACCCTTAATCTTTTAAATAAATTGCCTAACCCCAGTTTCCATGTTAATTGTCACTAACCTCAAAAAATCGATCATCCTGTTCTCAAAAGTCTGTCTTTCCTTTGTCTATTTGACTCCACACTAGTTTGGTTTCTCTCATTGGTGATTTGATTTTTACTAGCTAAGCACAAAAATAGCCCAACATTTTTTTCTTTGTTTTTATGTATTCATTCTATGTTTCCTTCCACACAGAATAATCATCTATTTCAGGTTCCCATTTACTCAAGATTATCAACATTTGTGGACTTCTAATCTCCTTAGTCATTGCAATGACTCCAGAATTCCTTGTTTGGAAATAATTTCTTCATCTCCTTAGCCTCATGTTTCCTACAGTATTCCCCTACTTGACCCAGATTTTTCTATTACCATCGACGATGGGCTCAATTATGTCAAATGTTAGTGTCTCAAAATGTGATTGTATTTAGACATAGCTTTCAATGATGTGACTAGATTAAAATAAGGTCATTAGGGTGGCTCTTCTCCCAACATGACTGGTGTCCTTATGAGAAGAGATTGTTTGGACACAGCTTCAAAGGGAAAGTCATAGGAAGACCCTTAATTCCCAAACCAAATTAATCATCAAAATTGGTTTAACTTACTTTTTCTTGCTATATCAACCAGCTCTTTTATTTGACATGTGAATGTCACTTGTTAAAACCATCAAAGGGTGCACATTACATTCACTACCTTTATCCTATTCCAATGCCTAGCAATGCTTGCACTCTTGTAAGGCACTTCCAAGGGTCTCTACTTCCAACCTTGCTTAAGGAACCGTTTTCTAAAGGTTTGTCATTCCAGAGCAGCAGTTTCCCACGTGAGTCCCCTGGTAGACCTGCATTATGTTTTATTTTCTTATAATTATTTTTCTTAAACTATCCCTTCTTTTACAAAGGAGCAATTTCAGATTACACAGGATCATTCTTTGCTAATCACTGAGTCGATAATGAAAAAATTAATTTATTGCTATGTATTCTTTGTATATGCCTTAAGAAAGGGTATTTTATTAATAGTTTTTATTCATATTACCTCTCAGCATCTAGATGTCAACTTTATATATACATTTAGCTATAAATATTTGTGTACTTATATAAAGCTTTTTATATTATTTGTATGATACATAGTTCCTTTAGTTCCCAAATTAAATTAATCAATCTCAGTTTAACCTACTTCTTTTTACTATATCAATAACATTTTTATCATATATTTGCTTTTTAACTATATTACTGTTTCGCATCAAATTGTTAACTACTATTTACATACAATTGCAAGTTTTCATTTTTCTTTGTTACTATACTAAATTTATTTTTCTGTAGAAAACAAAGTAAATTTCTCTTCTGTTGTCATGGAAACTTGTTACCTACCAATTCAGCTTAGCAAATCTGTTACAATTCCACACATATCACTTAAATATCTTCTGGTTTCTAAACTTCCCTAAGACCACTCTTTCATCTCCATTGCAACTGTTGTATCTTTGCTTTCTAACCAAGTCCTACGGTAATATGCATCCTACGGAAGTTCTAATAAATGAAGATCACACGTCAAAACTCACTGTTTATGTTCATAGAGAGATGACTTCATGTAGGTGTCTATAGCTATACCTGTACATATATTCTTTCTAAAATGAGCTTTCTTTAGTCTTTGCACACATACCTGATCTCTTCCATAAATGTTGATATATCCGAAGTCATCAGCACATCTAATACCTATAGCCCTTCCAAAAAGATTCTAAAAACTAAACCAGGCAGTAGTTCAAGAATCTACCTTCTCCTCAGAGGCAAGTCTAATTCTTTAGTCTCCTAAAGAGATGTGCTTAACCTAAAGAAAGGACATAAAAGATTTAAATAAAGGGGAAAACCATTTGATTTTTTTCACTGAACCCTGTTTTATTTGTATCTAGGATTGAGCATAATGAGTATAGGGTTAAATATCAGTGGCTTTAACTGCACAATAGTCAACTAGAAATCTCAGCTAATTCCTTAAACACGCCTTCCTAAAATGTCTCAGAAATTAATCACAACATTCATTTGTATGTTTAAAGCAATTCTTTTATATTGGATATATGTACAACTCACCCATTTCTGGGGCAAGTAGTTAGAATCTGCCCTGAGCTTGGCATGGAGGCACATAATTCTTATTTCAGCATTCTGGGAACCTGAGACAAGATCACAAGTTTGAGTTCAGCCTGGGCAATTTAATGACTTAGTTGATACCGTCTCTCAAAATCAAGATAAAATAAAGACTGTGCATATAATCCCAGGATTATATTTATTTCTCAGTACCAACAAATTATATTTATTTTTGAGTACCAACAAATAAATAAATAAACTGCTCAGTAACACTTTCCTGCTTCTTTCTTGATGAAAAGCTTCCTAAGAAGTAGTCACAATATCTGTAGGCCATCAGAAACAGATGTGTTTTTCTGTCTCTGCATTTCTGCCATGCCCCAATTAATCAACCCACTGACCTTGCTGCTGCTGAGATTCAGCAATATGGATGAAGACTCCTTCTCTGAATGGTCTGTTGTTTCTTTTGTTTCTACCCTGAGTCATTTAGTTTAACTGAATTTCCTCATCAGTCAGTGACATACAGCTCTTTCTCCTTGTATATCCCCCTCTCTTCTTCCTCATTTCCCTCTACAGATGTGGTTTTTCTTAAACATAACTAGATGCTTGAAGTAGAAGACAGACACTCTTGGGAATTCTAGATTACTCTAAGTAGAAAAACAGTAATCTCTATCATGGCTCCAATTAGAGAAAACAGCTCAGGCTACTAATTAGGAGACTCCCAACCCCAGTCCATTACAAATGAGACACCTTGAGAGCTCTAGGCATTAAAACGAAAGTACATTTTTATTTTTTTAAGTGGTATTTGATTAATGAATCAAAATGCTAAAAAACTGAGTGAAATTTGAGAGATATTGATAAAACAGATGAGAAAAGTCAATGGAGCAATGAAAGAAGGGAGCTGGACTTAAATCCTGCTCTTTTCTAGCCCATTTAATTTAATTTAAAGCCTCCTACAACTTTAAAAAAATCATATAACAGTAATACATACATACTGTGTTTCAGAACACAGTTCATAATAGCTGACATTGAAAGCAGCCTATATGCGTGTCAACAGATGAACGGATGAAGAACATGTGCTATTTGTATACAACAGAGTACTATTCACGCATAAGAAAACCTTGTGTGATTTGTAGGAAAATGATTACACTTTGTGGTGGATTGACAGCTGGTGATCAACTTGTAACACCCAGCTGAACTGAGTTAGTGTGCTGCTGAGTGTAAAGGGCCCACCTGAAGATTGTTGCCAAAATAAAAAGAAAACCTGGAGAGGAAGGAGTGGTGCTTCTGGTTTTCCTGCTGCTATTGGTTATCCTGAAGGAGCTTGTTGAGCTTCTGTCCTGATAACAGTTTTGCTGTCCTCATCATCAGAAGGACTTGTCACTGAGAATGGCTGTAGTTCACTTTGGAGTGTTTTGGAATTCCTAACAAATTTACCCACAGGACACTGAGTTCCAGAAACAAGTGAGGTTAGGGTTATGGTAACCCAAATTATAAATGAAGAACAAAACAAAAGGTAGTAGGAAGTAAGGACATAAATCTTTCTCAAACAGGAAGGTGATTAAGAGATGGAGGAAGGAGAGAAATGAATGAATAAACAATTCAGATGTATCATGTACATTTTCTGACTCTACAAGGGATGTAACCAATAGGTACTGCAAATATGTACTAATAAAAAGAAGATGTAGTAATAAATGAAAGAAAGAGAGAGAGAGAAAGAAAACAAAAAGCATTCTGTGGTTTTTGCCTACTAATTTTATACTGAAGTTCAGGGCTGATAGTTTAACTAATAATATTAATTTTTTCCTCCCTCTTTGTGAGTAGGGGTTAGTCTTCTCA